CCTGCCCGGCCCCCACCGGATGCTCAGCCTCGCGCTGGCCTGCTTCTCCCACCTCTGAGGTCCCCTGCGTCCTCTGGGTGACCCCCACAGGCGCACCCCTTCCTTGCCAGATGCCACCGCGGGAAGTAGTGCCTGGGTCCACCGGCCCTGGCCGCCGCGCACCGAGGCCACTTACTGCCTGCGCAGAGTTCAGCCGGGCTCCTCCCGCCAGGGCCAAAGCCAGCGGCTGCCGCCCCAGGAGAGGCAAGCCCGCGACTCGAGGGTCCGGCCATGGCCTGGAGCACACCCGAAGGACAGCCCCTCAGGGCCCTGACGGCAGGAGCGCCGCGCGGATGCACCCGGGCACCCTGGCTGCGAGGTTTCCCGCGTACAGCGCCGTTTGTTGCTGACTGGGGTCAGGCTGGAACCCGTGAGCGCGGCCCCATTGCCTCAAGGGCCATGGCTTCTCCCCAGAGCAGGAGCAGCACAGTCCCTGCAGCTTGGGAGCCGTTTGGGGGCTGCCCTCTGGTGGGCCTTGGGCTGGTGGAAGCTCACTGCTTGCTTTCTCCGAGCCTCAGAGCTTGGGTGGGTAAGACCGGGCTGGCTGGAGACTGTGCTGGCGGAAGGCAGGAGATGGGACCCTGGGCCTCTCCTCAGTCAGTCCCAGGAAGGGGCAGGTGGGAGGTGCTGCCTCCCTGTGGCTGGTGACCGGGCCGTGTGTCCCGCTACTTCCCCAGAGTGCCCGTCTGCAGCCGCCTGGCTGCGTTCTCTGCCTTGGCTCGCTGAGCTCGCGGAAAGCGGCCATCACGGCTCCTCAGAAATCGCAGACACAAGCCCGGAGCCTGACCCACAGACCGTGCACAGGAATGGCTTACTAATTTGTTAGGAAAAACTAGGTTATTTGAGTTGGGTGTTGAAGGATGAGTAAGAGTTTACCTGCAGAAGGACATGAACTCTAGACACATACCTGTCCTTTTATTTATGTATTTGCATAGAGGAGCTGTAGAGTCGGTCAGAGGTTTGGGGTGTGTGTGAAAGGACTCCCCAGAGACAGACTGAAACACACTGCTGAGGGGAGCAGCGAGGAGACAGGAGAGGTCTGCTGCGCCCTGGCCAGATGGAACTGGGGCCACAATGGCTGGTGACAGCTTAGTAGTGCTGAGACTTAACCCCTTGGCCACCAGGGGGCCCACTACTTGCTCTCTCTTTTTTTAAAAAAGGTGTATTTATGTATGCACATTAGAACTGGGGTACAGGCCAGAGGTGCGGGTGTGAGAGGGCTCCCCAGAGACAGAGTGGGGGGCAGAACAGGCAGGTGTACTGAGACACACTGCTGAGGGAGCAGCAGGGAGCCGGGAGAGGACTGCTGCGCCCTGCGGGTCCCTCCCTGGCCGGGCTTGGACTTGAGCAGCAGGGGCTGGGGCAGCTGATGGCGCTGCGCTCTAACTGTTGTACCACTGAGGCCCTCTAACCCTTCTTTCTTTAAAGATTTATTTATTTAAACATACAAGAGGAGTGTAGACCATTGGTGTGGGTGGTGGACTCCCCAGAGGGGGAGGGGAGCAGAACAGGCAGACTGACTGAAACCCACTGCCCAGGGGGCAGCCGGGAGACAGGGGTCTGCTGCGCCCCGGGGCTGCCGTAGCTTGATAGTGCTGACTTAATCCCTTGGGCCCTGGGGAGGCCAGAGTCTCGCTTTCCCCTCAGTCCGCCGCTGCTGAAAGAAGGGGCAGGGGGCAGCGCAAAGCTGGGGCCTGCAGTCCAGAATGGCAGCAGGGGTTTGGTCAGTTGAGGCAGGACACCCGAGTTGAAACCCACCCCACTCAGCCTGGGGCGCTGGCCCCTTCCACTGTTTTCTGTCAAGTGAGCGTGACCCTGGGGTGGAAGTGGGAAGGCTGAGGGTGGGCGAGGAGAGCGATCAGGCCCTGCGCCTGGCGCGGAAGGCCCGCGCTACTCCACGGAGTGGCCCGTGGACCGGCAGCAGCCTGGGCGGCGCCTGGGTTGGCCAGAAAGCAAACTCTCCAGCCGGGGAAAGCAGATGGACTGCACTGGACTTTGCATTTAAGCCCGATTCCCAGACCATTCCGAGCACTGGTCAGATCCCCCCTGGCTGACTCCTGGGGGGTCGGGAAGGAGAAGAGAACGCCAGCTCGGGGGCGGTGCGGCGGGGCAGGCGGGGCAGGGCGAGAGGAGGCCGGGTGAGCAGCGGAGGCCAGACGCAGTGACCACTTCCGGGCGGCCGGCCCCCCGCGGACAATGTGGGGCAGCGCGGTGACCCTTTTCCCTCTCCAAGACCCTCAGGGAGCACAACGGGCGGGCTGTCCCTCCCTCGGGGCTCGCCCAGGCGGCCGCTCCCTGCGGTCACCCCGGTGGGCCCGCCAGGCCCCAGCGCCCGGCTGCCCCTCTCCTCCCCACCGTCCTCGGGCAGTAGCCGGCACGGGCTCGGCGCCAGGCCGAACCAATCGCTTCCCGAGCACACAGACCCGGGGCGCGATCGAGGGGCGTGGCCCAGCGATAGGTACGGCCTGACCCTTGCGTGCCCTGCGCCAGCGGGCTCTTTGCGCCTGCGCAGTGCGCCCCGCTCCCTTTCTGCCTCCGCTGCCGCCATGGCGCCCGTGGTTAGTATGGCTCCGCGCGAGGCCTGGGCTGCGGGAGAAGCACGTGGGCCCGGCGGGCTCGGCCCCTTCCCCCGCGCGCTGGGGGCCGCGCTCTCC